ATATTTTTTTTTTTTTCAAAATACAAATACAATAGTTGGAGCTTTTATTTTTTATGTTGCTGATTAGGTCTCTATAGTGTTGAAGAATTGACATGAAGGATAAATAAGATAGGGTATGTATGTTCTAAATCAGGCATGCCCAAACTCGGTCCTCGAGGGCCGCTGTCCTGCAGGTTTTAAGGGTTTTCCTGCTTTAGCACAGCTAATTATCATGAATGCAGTAGAGCAGAAGCCTGTTAATCAGCTTTCAATTAAAATCAGCTGTGCTGGAGCAAGGAAACCTCTAAAACCTGCAGGACAGCGGGCCTAGAGGACCGAGTTTGGGGATGTCTGTTCTAAATGCTCATTATTTTCCTAAGAAATATTGATTTGTGGCGATGAAGTACTAAATACTCCCCCCTTAGCTTAATAAAACGCTATATGTGGATGCAGTGTTAATTTGGGACAGCATTGAGACAGAGGTGTTGTTTGCTATTGTTAATTATAGGTTTCTGGTTTATTTACACATTAAGGAATAAATCCCTTAAACATAAATTGTGTTCAAGTTTAATTATTTAGTGTTTTTTTTTTGTTTTTTGCATAATTTTGAGTCTGTTAAGAAAACAGTTTCCATGTTAAGATTGAAAAAGGGTCGCTTAAAGAAATATTTGTCATGCCTTAAATCAGAGGTCTTCAAAAGGGGGTCCACGGAGGTACTGCATCGCAAAAGTTTTGGTTGATTAGACTTTTTTTTTTTATATTCCCCTCTGCTATTTTTTCCACTATTTGAAATGTCTTTAAATCCACATTAACATGAATTCAACACCCTGTAGTGAACAGATAAATACATTCAGTGACACACAGGAGCTCTTTCAAGCTGGGCACCGTTTCATTCACAACACCTGTCCCATCAACCAGGAATCAAAAATACTTAATCCCAGGAAGGAATTACTTTCGTTACATTGATCCATCTGTAATAGAGTGACTATAGGACCAGTTTGATAAAACACAATTTCATACCATATATATAATTAGGGGGTTCCTGCTCCATCTCGCCATTAGTTTGGGGGTCCTTGTTCTGGAAAATGTTGAAGACCATTGAACATTTTTTAAACCTGGTAGTGATTTTTTTTTTTTTCCCTGGCTATTGTTAACAAGGTTGAAATTTTAGTATCTGGACACCCCAGCTGTGTGTGAGTCAGCAGCAGCTGGTTGTAATGGTGTGTGAAGCACTTGCCTTAACGCCCTTCATGGTCTCGCTTCGCTATATTTAACTGATATGTTGACGGTACATCGCCCCCGCAGAGCTCTCCGCTCTGATGATCAAATGGTTCTCAATCTCAATCAATCTTTATTGCCAACTACAATTTAAATTTCAATCGAAATTTCAGTTTCAGTGCAAACCGATCATCAGGGGAACAGATTTACTGAGGCCAGTCGGCCGCAGAACGCTGCTAGTAGCGCATTCTTATGACGTCCCAGGCGGTTACCTACAGCGCAGAAATGGTTCTGGACGTCCCTGGGTCCCGATATAAACAGCAGGACCATCGCTCCTAAACTGTGGAACAATCTGCCCCTCGGTCTGCGGGTTAAGTCCAGGTTAAAGACTCATTTTTTAAAACTAGATTTTAATAATTAGGACACATTGTTTTATGCCTATGATTTTAGTTTGTTTTTGTTTGTTTTTTTTTTGCAATGTTTTTACCTTTCTGTGAAGCGCTTTGGTCTTCCTAGTGTTGTAAAATGCTATATAAATAAACTTTGATTTGATTTGCCTAATAAATGGTCCAACTGTGGGAAACATTGAGATACTTTACTCTATTTTTTAGTACTTGTGGATGTAATATCGAGTTTCTTGTTCTGTTTTTGTCCATAAGTTCTCAATATGTCCCTATTAGACATGAATTATGCTGTTACTTTATTACTACAGGATGCTAATGTCTCATATAAACTTTGTGTGAGCTGCTGTGCAAAAGTCAAAGACGAGGACTTAAACCGGAGAAGCTGTTTACTCTGTTCTTACAGACATGAGACACGTTTTAAAAACATTTCACTCATTAATCTAAACATTGGAGCAGTTCCCTCCATAAGGAGATGCTTAGATTTCCCTTCAATCTCACATTACATATTAAACATCAGTATTTCTATTATTTGTCCACTAATGAAGGATAATTTGTTTTTTACCAGATGATTAACACCAAAGACAAAGTGGTTCCCTCTGTTGAAGAGCGAGAAGAGAGAGAGATGGAAGAGGAGGAGGAGGATGATGAAGAGGAGGACGACTCGGAGAACGAAGAGGAAGATTCCTCAGATGATGATGATGATGATGAGGAAGGAGAACATGAAAAGGAAGCGGAGTCGTCGTCCCAAGATGCAAACGAAAATGCTTCCTCGTCTGACGGGGAGAAAAAGGAGCCGTCGGACGGCCTGAACCTGAACAACGAGGTGGTGAAGATGAGGACGGAGGTGAAGAGGGTCAAGGCTCTGGTCATCAGGAAGCTCACTCGTCAGATCGCTATGCTGAAGAAGAAGAAGGGGAACGAGGCGGAAACCGAAAGGAACCAGAGGAGAGCCGCCAGGCTGCTGGAGGAGGTCCACAGCATCAAGAAGCTCCCTCCAGACGTGGTACGGCCGTCCTGCTCCGACCCTGCACCTTACAGGGAGACCTTTGTTTGGTTCCAAAGTCAGGATAGCAGTTTATCTTCATTCCTCAAACACTGATGTCTTTATTTGCTTTTTAATGACACACCAACACAAATGACACATTTAATCTAGAGCCTGGTTCAGTTAGAGCTTTGCAAATCCTTGACCATCATCATTGTAAATAAAAACTAAATGCTTAATCACCTAACTAAAACAGGATTTACAAATAATACCCCAGCAGGATGAGGTGGAGTTCAGAGAAACCTTTTATGCCCCTGGAATGAGCTATACATTGGCATATGAGTAACAAAAATGTGACAATGCTCCTTTAAGTCCTTCACAGAAAGGCTTCCTGGTAGTTTACCCGAAAAAAATAGAATTACTGCTTTTCCTTCAACGATCAACTTTTAGTGTCACATGAAATCCTAAAACAACAACAATAGCAGTGATGTAATGAGATGAGCCGAGGCCTCGAGGCGTGTGTCGAGTAATGGGGGGGGGGGCGTTTTTTTCTTTAAGGCGCGTTTTAAGCATAATTCATTTAGGGGAGGGGCTAAAATTAATGATGTCCGAAGCCTCGCTAGCATGATGCTGGGTAATCGCTTCAGGAAGTAGTTCAGAAAGCGACAGGCATTTAAACAGCCTCAGTATTCAGTCAATATGTGGGAGTTTGTAGGAGAGTTGTTGTCAGTTGGTTATATTCTAAAAATAGTTTGGTTGGAAGAGCAACCAATCTATTTGGTTAAAACTATTTTGGTCAGATTAAACAATGTAATGATCACAGTTGTAATTTAGTATTAAGTACTATTACTGTCTGTTGAACAGTATTGACCGTTCTGTTAACTTTCACTCCTGAGGTTGATGGTTCGAGACCCACCTTACAGTTTGAAAGTTGAGATTATACTAAAATGTTTTGCTAATGAGACTAATTTGTGTTGGTTTGCCCCGGTAAAAATATAGATTGGGTAAAAACACTGCCAAATTAGATTGGCTGGTTTAACCAAAAGATTGGTTGAACACATAACTTCCAACCAGATTAAAACAAAAAGCCTTAGAAAAACTATAATGTTTGAATAAAAATAACGCCTTTCACTGTCTGCTTGAGCTTATTTAGCTAAAACGGCTGAAAAACTGTATACCTCAAATGATTGTTTTCTTCTAAGAGATTTTACACACACAAAAAAAATGTACACACTTATTATACACACTGATCATTAACTATTTCAAAGGAACTTAAGTGGGGGAGAAAAAAAACAAGAAAAACAATTGCAGAAAATCACAGATTTTATTACTAACTGTAGTTCTGCTTTCCACCAGTAGGTGGTGACATGTTCACGTGAAGCTTCCTGAACTGTGGGGATCATTGAAGCACCGGTTCAATGTTTCATGAGGCTTCATCTCAGCATCACTAAAAATAACCTAAATGTTCAGAAGGTGTAAATCAGGCGTGTCCAAGGTCAGTCCTCTAGGCCCGCTGTCCTGCAGGTTTTAGAGGTTTCCTGCTCCAGCACAGCTGATTTCCATTGATAGCTGATTTTATTGAAGTGCACTCATCAGAATCGTCTGTGTTGAAGCAGAGGAACCTCCAGCGGCCCTTAAGGAGCGACTTTTGACATGCCTCATGTAAATACTTTGCAACGCCTTTTAACTAATTTCTCACCTTTTTATCCTTTTTTTTTTTTTTTGCCCCACAAATTACAGGTGACCAAGACAGCTTTGCAGACGAAGCTCAACTTTGAGGAGGTTTGCAAAAACCCAGAGTCGAAAATGTCCGACCGAGCCGTCGCACGCATCGCCACGCACCCTCAGTTCAGCAAGAAGATTGAAAGCATCAAAGCTGCCATTGAAGAGTTCAAAGAGGAGCACAAAAAGGCCAGGAAACAGGGGGGTCAATCGAAAAGTCAGAGGCAGACAGAAAAATCCACGCAGCCGCCGCCGGATAATAGATTAGACAGAAAAAGTAAGGAGAAAATCAAAGACGGTGCTGATAAAAAAGAAAAAGATGCTCCGCAATCGGAAAAAGATGAAAAAGTGTCTCAATTGCCTGCGACCTTGGATGTTCCAAAGCAAGAAAAGCCAAAGTCTACAAGTGTTAAATCTGCTTCAGTTAAAGGCAGCATGACGCCAAAGCCTCAAACTAAAGTCCAGGAAAGGGGTTCCAGGCTTCAGGCTGCTCCAGAATTGATCCACAAAAGCCCAGAAGAAGAAGAAGAGAGCAACGTAGAGTCATCAGGTGACGAAGAGAAAGAGTACTTTGACGACAGTACGGAGGAACGATTTCACAAGCTGTCCTCCCAGTCTGAGGAGAGCGAAGAAGACGACTTCTTTATAGGAAAGGTCAGCAAGTTCAAGAAGAAGAAGAAAAAACAGACGAGCGGCGATGGGACGGAGAAAGAAGAGGAGAGACCAAAAGACCCGGGCAGTGTGAAAACAGACAAACTCCAGGGGGAGCTGGATGAGCTGGAGTCCAGGTTGAAGTCCCAAAGGTCCACAGTTCAGTCGGTGTTCTGCTCGTCTCTGGCTGGAGGGAAGGGGGGCGGAGCTAAAGCTGCACCTCAGGGGAACTTCCGAGCCGGTAGAGGAGGAGGGTTTAGCAAACTGAACAAGTTTCCAAAGCAGGAAAACAGAACTTTTAATTCCAGGTCCAAGTTCAGCAAGCCTGTCGTTAGAGGACCACACTCCGAGTCTAACAGGACAGATTCTGGACCTGCAGGGAGAGGAAGATCTAAAGATGTCCGACAGCAGACGGAGCGCAGAGGAGGCTTCGTATCCCGTCAGCCGCCCCAGCCGGCCCTCCATCCGTCCTGGGAGGCCAGCAAGAAGAGAAAGGAGCAGCAGGGACAGATCCTAGCCTTCCAAGGGAAGAAGATTAAATTTGATGATGATGACTAAAGAAACTGAATAACCTTTTGCATTGTGAGATATACTTAGGTGATGTAAAAATCTGGTGCCACTAGGACCTCAGTTGATCATAGATGTCACATTGTGAATTTTAAAATGCTCAACCTATCAGGAAACGATAAAATACTCTTTCATTCCTGCTCAAAGTGTCCAATTGCACTGGTTTAAAATGAATGTGTCCTGCTTAAGATGGATCATTTAACATCACCAATTTCTCTGCTCTATGTTCTGTTCTGTTAAACTTGATTTAAATGTGACATGTCGGATTCCACTGCAGTAAACCTCTGCCTTTAGCAACCATTTTGGTTAATGCTTCTCTTGGAATTTTAAGTTTTTTTATTGGGAACAAAAAGGTGATGTTCCTATTGCTGTGTTTCTGCATCAGACATTAAAAAAATAAATAAATAAATAAACCTGCTTGTTAAAGCTCTGACTGATTTGGTTATGACATCAGACTAACCAGCCCACGACATGCACAGCTGATTCTTGGAGCTGGTTTTGTTTTTATTTCCATTTATATTTTAAAATTGACATGATAAATGAAATGAGTTTCCTGCGCAGGGTGGCTGGGCGCACCCTTCCAGATCGGGTGAGGAGCTCGGAGTAGAGGCGGTGCTCCTCCACGTCAAAAGGAGCCAGCTGAGGTTGCTCAGGTATCTGTTCCGGATGCCTCCTGGTCGCCTCCCTCAGGAGATGTTCCAGGCTTGTCTTATAGGGAGGAGGTGCTGTGTAAGGCCCAGGACACGCTGGAGGGACTATGTCTCTGAGCTGGCCTGATGTCACCTTGGGGTCCCCCTAGAGCAGCCGGAGGGAGTGTGTGTGGATCGGGAAGTCTGGAAACTTTGATATTTGCTTAAACTGCTGCCTCCGCGAGCCAGCCCCGGATAAGCCAAATAAAATTGATGGATGGATGATAAATAACAAAAAAAACTATTAACAAATCAAAGCTTTAACAAATATGATAGCAAATTGAGGGGGGTGTCGATGTATGCACTCCACATGCTCTCAAGACAGCTGCTGAACGCTTTATGAATCAGCCGAAGCGTGCAAAGAAAAAAAACATTAGGAGCCAAATACCGTAAATTCTCTAATATTGGCCTGTATTCCAATAGCGGCCGGGTCTCTAATAATGGCCGGTCTCGCTGTCAGAGGAGG